AAACACACACACACAACACACACAAACACACACAAACACACACACACAAACACACACACACACAACACACACACACACACACAAACACACACAAAACACACACAAACACAAACACACAACAAACACACACAAACACACACCTTCATCATCGTCATTAACCTGAGAACGCGCGGACCACGTTTCCTTCCGTAGTTACTGCGCGGACACCGACGTGCTCCCGTGAGCCGCGTGTGGATCGTGTTTTCTCGCGTACGCTGCGTAAACCGCGCTTCCTCCTGTGCGCCTCTAAACCAGAACTAACACCAAGACTAAAACCAGGACTAATCCAGTCCAGGACTAAACCAGGACTAAACCAGGTCTAAACCAGGTCTAAACCAGGTCTAAACCAGGACTAAACCAGGCCTAAACCAGAACTAAAAACCAGGTCTAAACCAGGACTAAACCAGAACTAACACCAGGACTAAAACCAGGATTAATCCATTCCAGGACTAAACTAGGACTAAAGCAGGTCTAAACCAGGACTAAAACAAGGACTAAAACCAGTGATCTCATATATAAAGCATTTCTCTATCAATAATATTTTTAATATGGTTAAGGAAAGACTGGACTTTTTATTGTCTTTAAGTAGACAAAAGTTATTATGTTCAGATTTCCTCGTCTTTGCTACTTTACAGCAAACAGTTTCTTATTCATGGAGACTTGGGCTCAACAGCCAATTTGGAGAGATTTGTTAAACAATAAATGACTTTATAAAGTCACTTTTTTAAATCTATATCAGTCTTTTGATCTGCCACAATAATGTAATAATGAATTTAAATGAAAATACCTCAATTGAAGGCTTTTCTCAGCAATTTTTAGGTGAGATTAAAATGAGATTAATTAGATTAATTAATTACAGATCATAATTAATTAATCTCTCAATTTTTTTAATCGCATGACAGCAAATATATATATATATATATATATATATATTATATATATATATATATATATATATATATATATATATATATATTATATTTATTTTATTTTTTTTTACGGTAAAAATCAGGCCCATCTCCTCTTGAGCAGGGATTCTGTTCTATTTACGCTGCACTTTGAAGCATGCAGTTTTAATGTGTCCGATGAAAAAGGTCCCGAGCGAGGCGTGGATCACTTACACGGCTCTGAAAGTTTGATGTGCTTCTTGTCAACTCACATTCACATCTTTGTCGCGTACACGAGCCGGGAGGGGGAGGGCATCTGACGAGACGGGGGTCAAAGGTTTTATTCAATTATTCATGTCGGACGTCAAAATGAAGTGGAGAGTCTTAATGCGTTTTTTCTTCATTTTACTTTTTTTTTTTTTTTTTTTATATAAAGAGTCGTTTGGCATTTTCGTGCAGCGCTTTTCCATCTTCAAACTACGGAAGCCGAGAGGGGTCACAATGAACACAAATCCTGCGACGAATACAAATGTGACAACATGACAAAAAGCCACAACACACCAAAAAAAGCCACAACGGAAGTGACCGCGGGACTCTATTTTAATTAAACGCCGCAACAAATACAAACGCACAAACAAACGCAAATGCCGCACACATTAAAAAGCCACAACACATCAAACCACAAACACAAAAAAAGCCACAACGGAATGACCGCGGACTCTATTTTAATGCAAATGCCACAACAAATACAAATGCCACAACACATCAAAAAGTCAAACACATTAAAAAGTCACAACACATTAAAAAGCCACAACACATTAAAAGCCACAACAGAAGTGATCGCGGGACTCTATTTTCCAATGGACCAATCAAGCGGCAAGTGAAGAAGAAGAACTACAATGTGGAAAGTAAAGGAACGGAGAAGTTGGAAACGTAAGTAAAAGTAATAATTTTTTTTTATCATTATTCGTTTCACGTTGTAGTTCTTCTTCTTCACTTGCTGCTTCATCGGTTCTGCGGAAAATAGAGTCCCGCGGTCACTTCCGTTGTGGCTTTTTGAATGTGTTGTGGCTTTTTAATGTATTGTGGCATTTGCGTTTGTGTTGTGGCGTTTGTATATGTTGTGGCGTTTGCATTAGAGTCTCGTGGTCATTTCCGTTGTGGCTTTTTTGGTTTGTTGTGGCTTTTAGTTGTGTTGTCGCATTTGTATTTGTTGCGGTGTTTCCGTTTGTTGTGAGGAACCGCTCTGTGTACGCACGCACTGGGGTGAACTGCAATGCAAAATGATTTTAAGCAGCACATTTTTCAGGAGCCTGTGGTCAGTCCATGTTGAGTGTTGAGTGTTGGGATCATTAGGTTGTGATTTGCACTTTTGAATTTGCACATTCATCAGTTTGGTAAAAAAAAAAAATAGGGACACCTGGGACATTTCTTGTATAAAACTGGGACGAATCAGTGGTTTTGTATTAAACTGCTGAGACAGAGGACATAGGCTCAAAACTGGGACTGTCCCGGGTAAACAGGGATGTCTGGTGGTCCTGGTTTAGTCCTGGTTTAGTCCTGATTTAATCCTGATTTAGTCCTGGTTTAGTCCCGGTTTAGTCCCGATTTAGTCCCGGTTTATTCCCGGTTTAGTCCTGGTTTAGTCCTGATTTAGTCCTGATTTAGTCCTGGTTTAGTCCCGGTTTAGTCCCGGTTTAGTCCTGATTTAGTCCTGATTTAGTCCTGGTTTAGTCCTGGTTTAGTCCCAGTTTAGTCCTGATTTAATCCTAGTTTAATCCTGATTTAGTCCTGGTTCAATCCTGCTTTAGTCCCGTCCTCTGGGACAGTTGTCATTTGCCTGTTTTCCTGTGAATATGGATAATCTGCTTCTCTGTTCTTGACCAGTGATGTTTTATTTTCTATCATCTTTCTGAATAAATAACAGTTATGTTGTTGATGGATATCGTGATCTTGGATTATACAAAAACAAACTGAAAATAGGCAAGACAAAATGGATTTAAGCAGCACATTTTTCAGGAGCCTGTGATCAGTCCGTCCATGCTCTCATTTAGGTGTTGAGTTTTGAGTGTTGGGATCATTAGGTTATGATTTACACTTTTCAGTTCGCACTTTTCATCTGAAACGACTTAAAAGTAGAAGTCAGATGACATTTGTGTTAGAAAATTGCCCAATGGAAGCTGATGTTGCCATAAATGCTAGTGAGCAGCAGATTTTATTTTTTTTTTCATTTGCAAGGGCGGAAAATAAGAAATTGCATTTATTCACGTTGCGATAATTGAGCAGTTTTTTGTTTTTTTGTTTTTTTTTGAGTAATATGTAATTTTTGAAATAGGTAATTTTACTTTTTCTCAAGTACATTTTTACCCAAGTATTTTAATTTATTATATTGGAACTCACCCTCGTTACTAAGTAAAATCAGATTGACAGAGAAAAAAAAAAAACAAAAAAAACTACAGACTATAGAATCACTATAGAATGTACAGCAATTGTTCATAAATGTCAGTCTGTCTTAGATCAACTTGGATGGTGCTGGTGTCGAGTCACATTGAGGCCATCATGATATTTTTAAAGGGCCCATCTCATGCAAAATCAACTTTTCAGAGCTTTCTACCTTCTAAGAGTGATGTGTGGACCTTGTATTTGTTGCCCAAGTGGTTTTTAGATTGATTCGATGTTTTTTTTAACACATTGCAGTGTATTTCTGCCCCCCTCCCACATGACAACGAACTAAAGCTACTACAACAATGATGCGGCAGCTACACCTATGACACATTTGACGTAGAGCTTCACACCTGCCCCCCTCCCCCTGCTCCACCACCTCCACCTCCTCCACCCACTCACACACTGTCCTGTGTCTGCACCGTACAAGTTTGCTGTTCTGTGTTATTTATCTTTATTTTTTGCTTCAAACACGCTTTTTGTAACCATGTCCTCGTGGAGAAAGTGCGTATTTGGCTGCGATGGCAAGTCGAAATTATTTGGCATGCTGACAGAAGAAGCTGGAGTTTATTTCTGGGAACACAGACAAAAACATCTCCAAGAATATTTTTGTTTGTGAGCGACACTTCACTGAAGACTGCCTTGAGAACTACGGGTATTTTAAAACTGGACTTAAAACGAAGCAGAAGCGACACTTTGGAAAAGGATGTTGTTCCCACGATACCAGAGTCCAGTGATGAGATTCTAGATCTGTAAGTTTACTGCGAGTAAACCGCTGAAGAGAACTAAAAGCAAACTGCAGCGTTTATTTTTGAAGATTATCTGACATATAATTTCAGTCTGCATGTCATCTCCTTGTTCTACCTCTTTCAGTTTGACAAACGTTACGTCGTCCTACGATATTCCACTGATACTAACAACAGACTTAGAGCATCATTTTATTCTAGTGAGTCGTCTTCATTGCTTCTGCACAAGAACAAAAACACACCTCACACCTCAGTCATTACGACCACTGATGTTTAGTGTCGCCTGTTCACATTATGA